TGTTATAAAATAGTGAACTTAGGATATTCTCAAGCATCTCAATTAATTAATTAATAATCATGATGCTCAAGCATCTGCAATAATTATAGAATTAAATGCTTGAGAATATTTTTTTTATTTTTTCGTGATCTATGTTAAATATCTTAAAAAATTTCTACCTAACTCTTGCTAAAACTTTAACTTCGGCTGCATCAGCTGTATTAGCTTCTTTTAATGATTTTAACAATTTAAATCTTTTGCAGCAACACAAAAAAATCAATTTATTGAATTATTAGCGTAAGTTGTATTTAGCAAGAAATAAAAAAAAAATTTAAATAGTCAAACTTACGCGAGGAAGGTAAGATAAATTAATCATTTCACAAAATACTATAAAAGTATCAAATTTTATTTATATATTTATTCGCTTTTTTCTATGCCTTCTTTTTTTCACTCTTTGTATTTTCTATTCCTTGTATTTTTTATTCTTTTTATTGTTTTATTCTTTGTATTTTTTTATTATCACGGTCCTTTTTTATATTTTTTTTTTTACCACTTCATCAGGAAATAACGCCCAGAGCATTATTTCGAGATAGTTTAAAAGAAGCTATTAATCCAACTAAATGCAAACACAAATAAAATAATTGACTAATTATTAGCTTTCATTGTCTTGAAATAATACCTTGATGCAACAATACAGATACAGTCAACTCTTTCTATAACGAACTAAAGATTCTGGAAGAAAAAAAAGTTCGTTATAGGGAAATTACTATGTTTTTTTAAGAACCCATGCCATTTTTTATACCGAACTATTATGAAATTTCAAAATTTTTGAATTCATTATATCCAGAGTTTGTTATAAAAAGGTTCGTTATATCCAGAGTCAACTGTATATATTTTAGCTTTTTCTTTATTTGGATGATCTTTTTGTTCGTTTCATTAATTCCTTCTTTCAATCCTTTTCTTTTTTGTTTTATTTAATCGATTCTTTCATTCTTAATTAGCATCTTCTTCCTTTTTGCTTTGTCTTTATTCGTCTTTTCATCTTCCTTTTGTTCATTATTCCTTTCTTCGCTCATTTATTTCTTTTTTTCTTTTTTTTTTGTTTTTCCTTTTCCTTGTTCTTATTTTGTTGATTCTTTTTCATTGTTTTCTGTTTACTGTTTTTTTTTTTTTTTCTTTTTCTTTATTCGCTCTTCTTTTTCCTTTTCTTGTAACTGTTTTAGTTTTTCTTGTTTTTATTTTTATTGTTTTCATTTTTATTAATTTGAGTTTCAGCTAAAGTTTGTGTTACAAGTACTATAGATAAGGCATAAATGTTAATGTAAATTTTAAATGAATATAAAATAGAATAAAGTGTATTTGAGAAAAAGTTTATGTAACAAAAATTGTATAAAAGATTTGAGTTTTTAATATCAGTAAAGTTCTTAAAACTCCTTGATAAAAATAATTTTTTTATTTATCATTTAAATTTTGCTTATTTGCACAAAAATAGTTTCAAATCAAATTTTATTTAAAAAAAATAGAAGCTACTGCATCAACAAGCCATCAGACTTCAGAAACTGCATTGACACCTAGTATGTATGCAATAATTAATATTGTACCTTATACAGAGAAAAAGCTCTATCTTGTGTAATTTCTTGCAAGCCATATACAAGTTACTCATTATAATGAATAATGTGTTTGACTTGTAATAGGAATTGATTTTTTGAGTTTTTGATTATTTAACCCACACAAAGCTATGCAAAATCGAATTATAGTCAACTCTTTCTAAGTGCAACATTTCCAAATGCAACTTTAAATTCTGACCCAAATGTATGTATAGAGGATCCCTGTTAATATCAACCTAAGCTATAAAATATTAAAATTCCCTTATATATATCAATTTTTAATATGATCCCTCACTAATATCATTATCAACATGAATAGAAAAGCAATCCAAATATAGTTAACTCTTTCTATAATGAACTAAAGATTCTGGAAGAAAAAAAAGTTCGTTATAAGGAAATTACTATATTTTTTTTAAGAACCCATGCCATTTTTTATAGCGAACTATTATGAAATTTCAAAATTTTTGAATTCATTATATCCAGAGTTCGTTATAGAAGGTTCATTATATCTAGAGTCGACTGTAGGTTGATATTAATGAGGATTCTCTGTATATGTTTAATCTTTATAAATGCAATTTTTTCTCTAAATGTATATTGCTAAAAGTCGGGTCCTGATGAATTGCACTTAGAGAAAGTTGACTATAATATTTTTGTTATCTTGCGTGAGTTATATTTCTGAATTTATACTCTAGTAATTATTATAATCGACTCAATCAAGTCAGTTAAAAATTAGTTATAATTTTTATTAATAAAAAAAATAAAAATAACAGATACCACCATTCAAATTATCGATGCTAATGAACTTGCAAATGACAATGAAATACTGCTTGATGGACTGTTTGACAAATTCGATCAATTTATAACTGAATTACGTGAAGATCTAAATACAAATTCATCAATCCCCAAAGAACTTTTACCATCAGAGGCTATACAATTAGTTCGTGAAGAGGGATCGCATCGAGAAAATCCTTTAGAAAGCTCAGAATATCTTTTTCTGCTAAATACTGATATTGAAAGTTGGATTAAAGAATTTGAAACTGCAACGGCATCAAAATATATAAAACGTCATGAGGATCATCTAGTAAATGGAATTCGTATCTCTTATAAGTGTTACCGTGGGGGAACATATGAAAGTGTAGCTGGAAATGATCTAAGTGATAAAAAATCAAAGAAAATTCAAAAAAAATATATAAAATGCGGCTGCAAATCACAACTAATTATTACTAAAACCAGTGGTCCTAGTATGCTACAAATGATTGTAAAATACATAACAAATTCAGGTCATATTCCTGGTTCTGTCGAGGATATAGGGACATTAAGAATTTCTCCAGAAGTTCGAGAATGGATTGCTAATAATATTTGTGCTGGGTTAAATATTAGTGGGATATGCCGATTATTTCAAAAAAGAGCCTGTGATATGGAGAAAACTTGGAAAGAGTGAATACCAGACAACATTATTAAAATTAGAGACAGTTTA